AAAAGTGAAATTGCAATATCATAAAGGAATGCATGTAGCCACATTAAAATTTCAGGACCAGAAGAGGTGACAGAGATATGCAAATGATTAAGTTTGTGTAAGCATCCGGTCATGTGGAACCCAGTTTTTGGCTATAAAAACCAGCATTCAACTCAGGCTGTAAATGCTATCAGTGACAGTTTGTGACAGTGAGCTGAATACCACTAGTTAATGACTGGGGAACAAGTCGTTACCCTGAAGCTATGCAACCTCAGTTTGTTGATGCACATAGTTGCTATTATTGAGGATGTGGAGGCAATGCAAATCAAGAAGAGAAAGGTTTTATATTATTGGTTTTACAAAAAAATATTATTGGTTATAGATGAAATTCAAGAATTATTGCAGAGGTCACATGAAAACATTTCACATGTAGTAAAATCACTAACCTTAAAGTTCATACAGTACTGGTAACAATGGCCTTCACGTCAATCTCTGTAATTTTCTATCAGCATAAGCTTCTTTTCATTGTGGCAAATGAATGCACTAGTATCTAACAGGTCCAAACATCAGTCTTTTGTACTGCCAGACATCAGAAAGTTGATGCTATCTCTCAAAAGCAGGGAAAGATTGTTAAAAAACATTTAGCAGGTATCTCAATAAGAGAAATTGGGAGAAACCTCTACTCTCCCAAAACCTTAGTCCTGTCATTCCTTAAGCACTATGATTCCACTAAATCCATTGTGCCAAAGAAAAAATATGGAAGACAAAACACTATGTTGGGGAGAGAGATCACATGCTTATCCAAGAAATCAAGACTCAATGATCAGGAACATATACAGAGTTTTCTGTAGGAAAAAAAAATTAGTATGGCAATTTTGATCAAAATTACTACTAAAAAGCTAAAAGAGAATGACTACAGATTGTACAAAGTCAAACATAAGCCCTTACTAATGAAGGCAAAAAAGAAGATACAGTATCAATGGGCTAAATATCATATACATTAGACAGATCAAGATGGGCATTGAATAATATGGTCTGGCAAATCATCTTTTGAAGTCTTGTACAGAAATATAGACACAGGATCATCATAATGACAAACAACAGCCTAAAGAAAAGCTATATCAAATAGCAGATTTCCATTGCCAGTGCCTCATGTCGATTATGCCCTATAGTATTGGAGACTTGTATTCAGCAAAAGGAAAGGAAGTCAGGTCCTATGTCCCAAGAACTGTCCTATGCGAACTTTAAAGACAGTGAGTTTTCAACCCAGGTTGTCTTTTTTTTTTTTTTTTTTACAGTTATGGTCAAACTTGGTTTTCTACAAACTGGAAATAAAAGAATGTTTTTCTTTTATATTTTAACAGTTATTTTCTAAACATGAATAACTTGCAGATGTAAATTGCTTAACAAACTTTCCTTTTATTCATGAGTGAACTTCTAGGTCAATGGAGGAGGTAATTGAATCCGATTATTATAATCACACATATTGTTGATATTGTTGGACTGCAATTTGAAAAACTTATAGACGTGTAAATTCCCACTGTCATCTGTTCATCTGTCTTTCCTTAATCTCGAGAAAAATCTCGAGAACAAATCAAGGATTGCTTCAATTTGCAAAGCAATCCTGATCAAAAGAGCCTTTAATTATTGTACCAACTATACTGACACACTGAAAGAACTGAAACCTGTAAAATCCATTCTAACAGGTATGGATACCAAAAAAGACTGATTCAAAGTTTAGCATGTGCTCATACCACCTTCTCAAATAAGGCAAAGATCTATAATAAGGAAATAAAACTACCAGTAACTGCATAGAGTGGATTATGATCAAGTTATGCAACCTTTATATAAAGGGTGCATAACTTGATCATAATCCCCTTTAATACTAGTTGGTTTACAAACAACCCTAGTTTTATGCTGCAACAAGATGCAAAGAACACTTGTAGAATACCTGGTGTATATAAAATTCCATTTAGAGATAATAAATTCCAGAAAGATGTTGAGTATATTGGTTCTACCAAATGCTTCCTGCACAAGAGGTGTCCTTACATAGATATGAAATAGCTAATAAGAAGCACATCACTGCCTTGGCTTTATATGCCTCAAAGGAAGGTATGCTAGCCAACTACAAGAAGCTGCACTCATCAGATGCTCTCAACATCCTTACTAATTTGGGCTCTTGAGATCCTTGAGATTTTCAAAGCTGAAAAAAAGAGGTTTTCATCAATTTTAAGAATGAAGTAAAGATTTTATGTACACGACAAGTTCTCTACAACAATCAGATTCCAGACATGTGCACTAAATCCTTGTTTCATATCTGCATATGTTGTAAAAGTACATGTACAGTACATTTATTTTTAAATATTGCCTTTGTATTTTAAAAAATTGCCAGGACAAATTTACTTTTACAAAAAAATATATTTCTTGAGACTATACATATAGGATGAATCTATTTCATTTGGTCCCTTCACATACAATTTTTTAAAATGTATTTATTAATTTTATCATTGTGCCACCACAAGAGGAATATTTTAACTTTTTTGCATTGGATGGCAGATGAGTAGCCTACAATAAAATGTTGACTCCGCCGTGGAATTGTTATTATTTCAACAGCATGTGAAGGGATCAAATGAAATAGACTCATCCTGTATGTATAGTCTCAAGAAATATATTTTTTTGTAAAAAAAAAATTTACCTTTGTAGTTGGCTAACTCTGATTTATATTATTTTGTAATCGTATATCTTGATATATTTGTATATATTTAAGCATACTCAATAATATTCAAAATAATTATGTTTATGTTAGCATTACAATTTGGAACAACCTGAAACATGATGCAATCTTATTCATAGATTGAAAACATTTGTATATTGTAGTTTATTAAATTTTCTGCTGAATATATTTTAAGGTTCTTTTGAGGGTAGTGTTTAATAATTTTACATATATTCACATTATGGTAATTTATTATAAATCTGTTAAAATGTTTTAATAAATAAAGCTGAATTTAAATGATGACTTTTAAAAAAAAACGCTCTCTACTAGCTTGCACTGTCATGGAGCAAAAAAAAATAATGGCCAGGACATTGCATCCTCATGCCACCACCATAGAATTTAAATTTCCATATCAATTTTACATATTTTATATTTTCCCAGGATCTACAATAAATTTTCAGGATTTCTATAATTTTTGGATACAGATAAAACAGTTAGATCTACTATGTATAGTATATATCTTGTACAATTTACAGAACCATCTGAGGAGTTGAACCATTTTGTGCAGCAAGAAATTCCAGATATTGACATTGCTTATTATTAAGCTATCTTGTCCAAACATCAAGGAGTAAACCAATGAACAAATAAAAATACTATTTGCTTCTAAGTTTATCCAGAAATATGTCTCAGTTAAGTAAACTTGCAAACTTTAATAGTAAGTATAAGGTTAAAGTTAAAAAGCACCTATATTACTTCCTACATACTTATTCAACTGAATAAAAAACTGGATGTTCTGCATGGAACATCCAGTTTTTTATTCAGAACATCCAGAAATATTTCTGGATGTTCTGCATGGAAAGCATTGGAAATTGGATCAAGATCATCAGGAAGTCATTACCAGATTCAGAAAATTGATTTGATATGTCATTTTAAATTATGAATTTGCATTTCTCTTGGCTAACAAAAAGGTTTTGTAATGCATTCTACATAAAACATTATAAAACCTTAATACTTAATACAGTCTATTATTTATATGAATTTTTTCCATTCACAATTTTAAATATGCATAAACAAAGTAAAATAATACAAAAATTATCTGATAAATTTCTGTATTCTTGTATTTTGATTTATTGAAGATTATAATCCTTATGATAAATGAGGATTCCAATATTCCGAATTAAGAATGCTGCTGCTGATTTTTCATCCTTTCAAGGTTTTTAGGCTAAGTAACCCATTCCGGACTCAATCCATCTTTGTAGATAACACATTCCGACTTCCTTCTTTCGGGTTATAGTTTAATATTCTTTTTGGGATTCGCTCTTTGTTCATTATCTACAATATACGTTCAAGCCGTATATTTATTTTTTAAATTATACAATCTTTTTGAAACAGTTAATCAAATATACACCACAAATAATAATATTTTTGTAATTTTTTCATGAAATTAACTAAAATCCAAAAGAAAAATTATCACCACTGATTAAGATTGATCCTCAATTAAGTAACAAACATCTAATCTGTCATAATTTTTTTTTCCACTTACCAGTAAAGAAACTCTTAATAGTCCTTGTGGTCTTCTAAAGTAACTCCAATCCCAATGCAACATTATCACATCCTCATTCGAATTATTCACATATTTGGTCGACCTAACTATTTTATTACCACAAACATGTCCATCAATCCCGGCATCACCGACATCTTCATCCAGAGCGACATTTCTGAGAGAGAGTTCTTCAACGAAATGTTTACCATACTCGCTTCGATTCTTCTTTTCTCTTTCGGAATAAACTGATACACAATTCGACTTGGTCAAGCAAGGTCTTTCTTGCTTATCGTCTTCCATAGTACAACATTAAAAATAATAAAACAAGTTTTCTTCTAAAAATTAATTCATTTTTTCCGAGCAAAACACACGTTTCATTCAATACTTTTCTTTTTTCTTTCTCTATTTACAAAATATCGTAAATATTGCATACTATTTTGACAACTACCCACAATTGGCACGAATAAGTCAATATCACAGAACTGTCAACACGGAGGAAATGACGTCAAGGAAGCATAATGCAAAATTTTTCGTTTATTAGTATTTTTAATGCAATAAAAATATCATAAAAATCTATATATTATTTTAAAATATTAAAAATATAATAATACTAAGAATAATACTAAGAATAGATAATTATTATCAAAAATAAAATTATATATTAATTTACAAATAAATAAAAATGATATTTTAATAAGTTTTACTTTAAAATATAAATTAAATTTATATTTGAATTTGAAATATTAATTCGATTAAATTAATGTTTTAATCGATGTTTCTGTATCTTGTTTGCGAATTAGCTCGTGCTAGCAGGAGGTGTGACAGCAGCGAGTGAACACGGAAAGACTATTTTCTGTTTTGAGAATTGTCCTAGGGACAAATACACTTGAGATGTCCGAAAAAGATTTTGCTCCTCTAAGTGCAGCCTGTGTTCGTGCTTTGAACGATAAAATGTATGATAAAAGGAAAGCTGCTGCCTTGGAAATAGAGAAGTAAGTTTGAAAATGAAGTTTTCGAGTAATAAACTTCAAAAAAAGAAAAAGAAAATTTTTATATAATGGAAATAAAATATTCTAATATATTGACAAATGTTTGAATTATAAAAATATCAAAGTATAATATCCTTTAATAGATGTTTTGTAGGAAAATTTGAGACTAACTGCTCTGATGTACAGTACCAACAATTCGTTTGATGCTACGAAGGATCTATTAAAGTATTCCGAATGTAAATGAAATATTAAAAATGTTTTAAAGTACATGAAAACAGTATAGATTAATTTATAATTTAGGCAAGACATTTTAATCCATTTATTTGTATGTTCACATGTGTATAATGTATAATACCTTCTATTACACATGTATGTATTTTTAGCTCAAATTATAAGTCAATCTATACTTTTATACTGTTTGAGACTTACAAGAAAAAGATTTGACATCATTATTACTACTATAACTTCTTGATTGAAAAGTTAATTCTAAATTAATTTTTATAGCAACAGCTACTTTTATTATAGATTGTGTTTGTCACAATTTGTAAATCAAGTTGTTGTATTGTATTAATATATTTATAAATTTTGATTTGTTTTGCTTCTAAAAAATTTTTGAAAATGTTCAAGTTCTTTGATATTTTTTATATTTATCTTTTATATAATTTTATATAAAGAGATTTTTATCATAGGTATTGATGAATTAAGAGAAGGAAGACAACAGTAATTTGATAACTTATAGTATTGGAATTAATATCTTCATAATATCTACACTTTTCATTTGGATTAATGTATTATTTACACGTACAAACAAATTCATAAACCCAATTCATTTTAATTAAAGCCAGACAATGTGCTGAATTATTGTGCTATTATAAAGCTAAAAGCTAATCCTGGTGATTCAGCACATTGTCTGGCTTTAATTTATTATTTACTTTAATGACTTATAAGTAATTATAATAAATTCAGTATTGATTTTGATAGTTTAAATTAAAGCCAAATTGATGTAGGCAATTTAAAATTTAACAAATCATAAAAATATTGAAGAAAACACATATATTGATACAATATATCTAATATATTCTAAGTACTTTTTTTTTATAAAATAAGGGGAAAAGTTTACAATCACTACATCACATGTTTTTTCTTAATTTTTTTTTTTTAAAGAAACATTACTAATAGACATCTAAACAGATAGAATTTTACAATATTTATTAATTTCCAATAAGTGTAGATTAAAATGAAAAAGAAAATGATGTATTAAAGAAATTTAGGAAATAACATTACTAATGAAAATCAACATTTTTAGATTGACTTCTTGTCACAATTCCATAACTGATTTTCAAAAATTACCTCTAGTCTGTAATTTCCCAAAATTGGTTCCTTAACATTTCAGTGCTGAAATTACCTTGGAACATTCTACACTGCCTGATCCAATATGCCAGGGATGCTCATATATGTTCTCGAATTTTATTTACATTATCACTTGGAGAAAATTTCATCCTTTGTTTACAAGGAAAAAAAATTATTTTTATTGTTTATTGTATACTTCAAAGAATATATTTCATCTGTTGGTTTTGTATTAGTATTCTGTATATTAATTAAACAAAAAATAAAATACACAAAAAGTCAAACCTTCATCAAGGAATCAGCTTAATTTAATCTCCAAAATATTTTTAGGGAAATTTATCATCATCAGCAGTATAAAATGAATACATCTTTTTGAACATTTTTTTGGAATGATATAACTAATGTTCTTATTCACAAAATTTTAGCTTTTGTGTAGGTGTAGTGATAAGTGTGACTAGGTAACATCAGTTTGCCACATCTGTAGTGAAATACTTCCAACTTATTCTTTCCATTATATTCAGATTCAAAATCACCAAACACCAACCATTTGTACCATTTTCTTTTCATCACTTTAATTTAAATTTAAATTCTGGCTAACCATTATACCCTCTTTTTTTTTATGACATCAGACTCATAAACTACCTATTACCTAACTACCACTTTTTTCAAAAATTTTACAGCTTTCCTCCCTCATCTCCTTAAACTCCTGTCTTTTCTATAATACTCTCACATTTCATCATAAGCCCTTTACACCAGATTTGTGTTTAAACTACCTTTAACTACATCTCTCTTGTACTCACTTATTATCTCTCCTAAATTTATTCTTCTGGACCCTATGTAAAACTTCTGCTTTTTGTACCTTTCTCCTTTCTTATTAAATATATTCCAGATTGCTATACACACACAAATCTTTTTCATTCCTCAACATATCAGAAACTGTCTTGCATGTCAAGAAAACTAGCCTTCCTTCATATCTCCTTATTATTCAACATTTTATACACCTTTATATCAACAAAAATAATAATTTTATTTTCCACATTCATCCTTACTCTCATTCTCACACCATTCATGTTTCCTGGTTCTATCCTGTTTTATTCTCCTAATTCTCTCAACCATCTTGTCGATACTCTCGACGCATACCAATTTGACCCACTAGAGGGACCTACCCAATAACCAAACAAAAGGTTTTATGACCCTTTGTCTTGACCTGTTCCTTTGTTAGAACTACTGTCTGTCGACACGTGCGGACGTTCGTCCTACTGCCATGTAAAGACTTTTGTACATTAATTCATAGATTAAAGGAAGATACCTTAACCAGTTTAATATGTTTTCATCTGAGTGTCTCTCCACTGATTCTGAATTAACCACACATCTCACTTGAAATCATAAAATTCCTAAACTGTCGTCTCAGTCTACTACTACTGTCAAATCAATCTTTTTACTACAGTACTTATCCATTCTTCTGGATTCCAATTTACATATTCTAAACTACGCATAACTTGTACCTAATTGGTTTTCTAGACCACCAAATGTATCAAAGGTTCTTTGGCTATTTCTTTCCTATAAACCTTAGTGCTTATTGTGCTTAAATCCAGATAATTTACTTCTTTTAACCCCCTTTTCTTGTTGAGATGAAATGAGAATACTGTACAAAGAGGATATGTATGAATATAAGAACAGTCAAATAGATGTGTATTTATCTGTTATGTTTGGAAAATCAGATAATAAGTAGAAATAATGCTGATGTGTTATCACAACTTTGGAAATCAGTGATTGATAAGAAGAGAGCAATGATGGAAGAATTAAGGTTTAAAGAAAAGATAGGCGTTAAGAGGTGAGGGTGGAAAACTAAAATTTTTGAAAAGTGGTAGTTAAGTGATAGGTAGTTTGTGAGTCTGTTATGATGATAAAAACCAGCAATAAGTTGCATAACTTTCCTGGCAAATAAGTTAAAATTGTATTCATCTGTTATGATATTTTATTAAAAAGATTTTTATATTATTAATTATTATAAAGTGACAAAAAGGTTAATTTTGAGGGTAGAAATGAGTTTTATAAAAAAATTGTAAATGCTAATAATGAGTAAAATCTTCCATCAAGTCCAACCCCATTTTGAGTTATGACTTATGACCCTCTCTATCTCCCCACCCCGTTGACCTCTAACCACCAAAATTTAATAGTATCAATCCCCTAATACACAAACCCTGCAAAATTTCAGAAATTTTTGACAAAAGGCACAACTGTTTTTGCATTTTTCGATATTTTATGGCCCCCTGATCCAAAAATATAAAAATCTTGGAAGTTATTTTTTTGACTGATTGCCATATATGCCCTCTGTTATATATAACTGTCAGGAAAGTAAAAAATGAGGTATTGTGGTTGGCCAGGAATTTAAATTAAATTGATGAATAGAAAATAGAACAAATGGTTGGGTTTTTGATTTTGGATTTTAATATGATGGAAAGAATGTAGAAAGGAACTGACTGTGTAGAAAGGCTGTGGTGTTCCAAAAAAATGTTTAAAAAGTTGCATTTGTTATGAATTGCTGATAGAAAGAAATTCTTCCTGAAAATGTTTTGGTGATTAAGTTAAGCTGATTCCTTGATAAAAGTTTGATGTTTTGTCTGTCGAATGTTCTTGGAGTCACTGTTTGGTAGTTTTAAAAATAAAATTTTCAGCATATTGATAGAGAAATCTGTTTTTATACCTGTAGTGAACATGTTGTTATACCAAACAATCTGCCAGATTGTATTAGGCCTAAATCAAAAATTGGGTTAATAAATGTTTATATTCGTATATTAATTATCTTTAATTTCCAGTTTTAGTTCTTAAAATTATCTATCTTAAACCTTTTTATATAAAGTATTTTCTTTTTTGTTATCGTATTTACATGTTTACTACCTTATGTTGCATTTACTTACACTGCAAATTATATACGTTGTTGGGCTGCAATTTTCAAAAATTATAGACCTATAAATTCCCACTGTTATCCACCTGTCTTTCTTTAATCTTAAGGACAGAGTTAGATAGATGAAATCTGAGACCAGATATGGAAACCTTAGGATCAGGAGGCCCCAATTAACTATATATGAATTTTTGATGCAAATCAGAAGTCAGGTTGTTTCAATTTAAAACTTTTCTCCTGTAAGGAGTTAGATAGATGACTGGCATTACTCTATTGTTAAAGGAAAAGTATGATATACAAGAGTAAGCAACTACTAATTTGAGGTAGAGAGCATATATTTTAAATCAAATTAAAAATATGCTTAAAAATTGCAGTTCAGCATTGTGATGATGTCACAATAAATAATTGCTCATTGTAGATTATCTTTTAATTTGAGACCAGTATATAAGCCTGATAAATTTGAAGTATGCCAAAAACAGCATTTACAGAAATTAAAATAATTCCTGATATTGTTTTTATTTTAACAGTAATTAGAGTATGAATTGATTTGGTATACCTTCAGTGAATCTACATTAAATATAAATATTTTTGCTACAGACCATCAGGTTGGTCTAAAGTTTTGTAGAGCATTAGTGACCTTTGGATCAGTTTTTGAGAACTGACTTAAAGCTGTTAACTATACTATAATCTTAATTTTTTGCTTTAAGTGGTTAAAAACACAAATTTTAGCAGATCATCACAGAAAAAATGTAATGTATACAAATTGGTTTACTATAGTAATTTGCTCACCTAAAATTGTGACAACACAATGCATCTGTTTTAGGATTAATAAAGATTATATAGAATATATTTTATAGAACATAATTTATTTTCATATAAATAACATGAATAATTATTTTGAGAAAATTTTATACACATACATCTAAATAACATATAAAAATTTTAAAATAATATGCCAAACAACCAAATATACTAATATTTGGTTTGTAGCATGAAGTGGTAGTCAGCTGTAGATTAGTTTTAAACAGACTTAATCAAAAAAATTCAAATAAAATTAATTTGATGAAAACATTTTGAAAAAATTGTTTATAATAATTTTCCAACAATTTATTTTCATGAAATTTCTATATAGGATGGTTAAAGATTTTGAAGCTGTGAACAACACAGTGCAGATTAAAAAATTGCTTCGTGTATTAGGTCAAGACTTTACTCTTTCTCATAATGCAAACAGTAGGAAAGGTGGTTTAATTGGATTGGCAGCAATGGCAATAGCATTGGGTAAAGTAAGTGTTTATGTCTTTATCTTAAATTTTAATTCTTCTATTGAAATTTGTATATTTATATTTGTATTGAGTAAATTATACTTGAATCTTAAAGTTTAAGTATTATATTACATTACTCATATGGCAAAACTATGAATTATATTGAGTGAATGTCAGAAATCTATTATATTTTACCATTGCTTTACAGTAACTGATAACTGTGGGCATCCTCCAATTAGAGAAATGAAAAATTTTGGGGAATTCCTAAAGATTGCATTAAATGCAAATTACAGGGTTCATAACAATTATGGAAAACCTGAAAAACATGGTATTTTCTTGGATTTGGAAAATAGAGAGAATGTCATGGAATTTAAATGGAAATTGCTGTCCTGTGTTAATAGTACAGTACATACTTTTATCTAAAATATCAATAATTGATTAATTGATGCTGCAGATGTGCAAAGTTTCATTCATGTAATTCATAGGAGTTTTCCAAGTAATCTTACTTCATTGAATCAAAGGGTAAAGTTGGAAATGAGTTTTATTGCAAACTGTGTGTTCACTTTCTGAACAGATAAGTTGGCTCAGATTCCAGCACTTATTGAATGCTCAGTTAACATCTATTAAAAATATTTCTTGTCTTATGAAGTTACATACCATATATATTTGATGACGTGTGCTCTTACAGATGAGCACATGCACACTAATATGTAAATTTAATTGAGATTAAATAGAAATTAATGTTATAGACTTTCTATCAGTTTGTACATTTCTAGTTAGGTTGGTTAGTTGTACTTTCTGTCGATTGTCCAAGTGGTTATGTTTTGTTATCTTTTGTCTCACAGGTGATTGACTGTCTTACTAATGACCCGTGCCATTATAGCTTAATTCTTATTACCAAGCTGTTTACTTGTGATGGAACAATTATTCAGAATCGGGAATATGAAAAATATCTTGTCACAATTTCTGATTCTTAAAATGATTCTTCCACATTTAATAAGAAAATTCATTAATTGTTTCAAAGTTTAAAAATTTTTTAAATTATGATAGTAGCAATTAAGTATTTGTTTATTGGAAACGTTTGTGTTGACAAAGCAGAGAGTATGAGACATCCCATACGTGTGGTGTTGTTTGTCATGGTGGACTTCTTATAGTCAGTGCAATGAGATACACATTTGGTCAATATTAACTGTTCCCAGTTTAGTAGAGATATGGTGACATGCTGGAATAGTTCTGTAGTATTTAACTAGACCTGTTTTGGGAAAGAAAAATTACTGCTGTGCTTGATCCAAGCCTGTATGTATATGAGAGTAATTATACGGGGAAAGGAAATGGTATGGAGAGTTGTTACTTCATCATGGAGTTATCTCAATCTTACTTTTTCAATATTAAATTTTTTAGGTTTTTTATATTCTTATTTTTTTAATTTTTATATTGGTTTTTTTTAAGTTTTCAAGAAAGTTCAATCCTGTTAATTTATTAAAGTATGTAATGGTGAAAGATGGTATTTCTTCCTGTATTGAGTATTTGTAAATCAGCATCACACTGTATTTCCAACTATCTCCAAACAAAAATGAGCAATTATAATCTGGGAAAATCATAATCTGACTTGTTTTTAGAATGCTGTCAAGGGTATCAATAAATGCTTTTATCTTTTAAAAAAAAAGAAGTTTAAATTTGTATTTTAATAATAAGTAGAACTAACATATTGTATTGGAAGGAGAGTTTTTTAAAGCTATTATTTTCTGTCAAGTGACTTATTGGGCTGCAATTTGAAAAAATTGTAAACCTATAAATTCCCACTGTTGTCCATTTATTTGTCCTTTCCTAATCTAAAGAATGGAGTTAAATACATGAAAGACAAGACCAGATATAGAAAGCTTGGGCAGGAGGTCCCAATTAAGTATATATAAACTGCCAATGCAAACTGGAAGTCACGTTATTTCAAATCAAAACTTTTCTTTTAAAAGGAGTTAGATAGATGACTGGCATGACTTCATTGCTAACAGAAAAGTATGATGTACAGGGGTAAGACACTACAGTACTAATTTGAGATGGAGAGCATATATATTAAATTAATTAAAAATATGATTAAAAATTACAACCTGGCATTGTGACATTGTCAAATAAATAATTGCTTGTTTTGTTTACTTTACTGCTTTGTTATCATAGTATAATCATATTATTTTTGAGTTATTCTTTTATGAGAAATATTTATGAAGAAGAAGAAAAAATTAAAATTTAACAATCGAGATTTTTGTACCTATTGAGAATGCGGCTATATTTATTGAATTTAATTCAATAGAAATTAAAGCCAAAATAAATTAATTTTGAAATCCCAGCAAAATTTATTAGTTATTCTAAGAAATTCTTTTTGGATCTTAAAGATTATTTATTTTGCAATCTGTGAAATGATAATATGACTAATTTAAACCAAATATAAAATAAATATTTTTAAAATGTGTACCAGATGGAAATATAATTATGAAAATAAATATACATTAAAATTACAGCTGTTATAAGTATATTATTAACAAATTTTTTGATGCTGTAATATAATATTTTTTTTAGTAACCTTGTTTATACAAGCTTATTTTCTGTTATTCATTGATAAAATGGATTTTAATAATTAAGGAGAATGTTATCCTATAAATAGTATTAAATTTAAAAGTATATTTTTATATTTATATATACAGTTTAACAAAAGAATTTTTAAATTTTCAGGATACATCTTTCTACATTGATGAATTAGTGTGCCCTATTATGTCTTGTTTTTCTGACCAGGACAGTAGAGTGCGTTATTATGCATGTGAAGCGTTATACAATGTTGTGAAAGTTGCCCGTGGATCTGTTTTACCTTTTTTCAATGATATATTTGATGCATTGAGCAAGGTAATTTTTTAAGGCTAATACTAAAATCTGAAATAGTTTTCATTGAAACTTCTAAAAAAAAAATAATTGATTTCTATGAAATATGAAAATTGACCATAATATACAGAAAAGCTTTAGCTTATATGTTGAAAGTTTTCAGCTGATTTCAAAACCAAAACTTTGATAAACTGATAAAACTTAATAATAAAATAATGGATTATGACAATTTGGTTATGAAATTAATAGCAAAATCTATTGTAAAGCTACTTATTTTGACAGTTTTTAATCAACTGTAGTTGTATTGTGTATAACATTCTATAACTTCTTCTTAAACCTGAAAAATAGTCATTCAAATATTATTATATTTCTTAAAAAATTAAATTTTAAACACTATATATAAACTCAAATAAAAGGAAGAAAGTTTTTTAAATTATTTATAATCATAATAAAATATATTTTTTTAAAACTCTAATTTATAACTATTGAAATAACTAACAATAATTAATAATAATAATAATTTTACATATATGTAATAGCTTACATATTACTTCTATTAATTTATTTCTTTTACACAAATCATTAAAATTTAAAATATAGTTTAAATTATCTTCTTAATCATCTAGACATGTCTAATCATTGCTAATTATTGTTAGCTATAACCAATAGTTATAGATTAGATAATTTGTAAAATGAACTAACCTTAATATCAAACTATATAGTTTTAATTATTGCTGAAATTTAAGTTAAATAATTCATTTTTAATAAAGATACTAACATATAGGTTAGGCTATTTTAATCAGTCCAGTGGAATAACTTGAAAAATACTTATCTTACAATAAAAACATTAATAATAAATGTTAGACTTCAAGGGATCACAAAATGTGCTATCAGTTTCATCATAGATTGCTTGATTGGTGAAAATGGGGTCATCTTCATTTTCTTAAATGGGAACCCTCATGTTTTATTGCATATTCTGATTCTACATAAAAAATAAATAGAATTTTTATCTAAAACATTTTTTTGAAAGATGCACTAATCATAAGTTATGGACATTTGAATTTTACATGGCCACCATATCATGCATATATGAATCTGTGGATGTCTGTGAATTTCACTGAAAAAGAAAGAAAAATGCTTAAAAACTTTTTATAATAAGTTCTAGCTTACTGTGCTTAGAACTTAAAAAGTCGTTAGGAAGCAATTATTACTTGATTGAATTATTATTTTTGTTGAAATAATGAACTGATACAAAACTAGTGCCACAGCAATCAAGCTTGTGATAAAGAGAGGACATTGATCTTAATTTCAACAAATAACAGTTTTGTAAACTTTCTAGCATTTTTTTTCCAGTGAAATTCACAGACATCAACAGATTCACGTATGCACAATCTTGCAGTTGGATTAATCTTCAAGCACTCACAACTTCTGATTAGTATAACTTTGAAAAAATGTTTTAGATAAAAATTTGTTTATTTTTTATGTAGAATCAGAATATGCAATAAAACATGAGGGTTTCCATTTAAGAAAATGAAGATGAGCAGTAGTTGTAAGAAGTAGCTGATCATTGATTTCATTATCTTCTAGCAAAAAGAATGAATATCATAGAAACATTATACATTATTTACATTATGAGACATTCTATCAAAAAGCTTTTGATAGAATGTCTCATAGTTAGAGTTGCCAAATTCTGAGGTGTTGATTTTAGTAGATGACCATTCCATAAGTAGAAAATTCTGAGAGATAATCTTAAAAGCAAAATTACCACATAAGATAACTGTGGAACATATATTTCTTATTACCGAAAAACCACAAATCAACAATTTAATCTTCATTGAACAACAGAAACACTAACTAAACCTATAAATACCTTGAAATTCATGTTAAATCTTGAATGATTTAACATGAATTTCCTAACAGAATTGTAGATATTTGAGAACATGGTAATCTAAGAAACTCAAATATATTTTTGAACTATGTTTAGATGAACATGGTGCATTAATTTGATTTTCTTAGAATGACTGCTGACATTGAAAACTTCAGCAGAACATATAATAGAAAAAAACTAATGATGATTTTTTCATACCCATTTTTATTGTGGGTCTATAAAAATTGTTTTACCCTCTCATATTCAGTTTTTTGTATCAGTTTTGCTTGTACTTTGGCTTCTTTCATTTACTTTAAATAAACAAAAGTTTGTCTTTGACACTGGTCCAAATATGATGCCTTTAAATTGTACTACAAAAGGAGTTGTATGCAAAGTTTCAGCTCTACAATTGATAGAGTATATAGATTTTAGGTAACAGATATACAGAACATCACACATTTTCATTTTTTTAAGAAACAAAGTTTTATTACTTTTTGTTCTCTTAATGTTCACTTCTTTAAATAAAATCTTGATCTGCTACTTGAGATGAGATGATGCAAAAAATTAAGCTTATTGAGCTCCATTCATCAAATTACATTGAGGAGTATTTGGAGGAAACATATTTTCATATGTATGACAGAGTGACTTATATACATATAAAAGTGTTTAATAAGAAAATGCATTTGTATCTATGAACATTTAATTACTTAAAAATATCAAGCAAAACAATTTACAACACACACACACACACACACACAAAATAATCCACTTTTGATATATGTTCCATATAGTTATCATGAATATTACAAAACAGAATGGATACAGAATATGGCATATGGAAGGGTTTCTGAACAATTTTTTATCATTTTGATAAAAGATTGTTCTGAGGATCATTCAGAAACTCTTCTGTATTCTTTCCATAGTATTGTGGTTTTCAAGAACATCAACATAAACTAATTTCCAATTTAATAATATTTCATAAGACAGTCATCTTTTGAGTAAGTTGGTGAAGTAGATCTCAAACCAGAAGTTGGAAGAATTTCAACATTTTTGTCAATTTTCAGGAGGCTCCCAGCTATATATCTCAGATGGCAGGGAGCCTCCTGGAAATTGATCAAATTATTTGTACAAATTTGTTTATAAATGACCTCAAAGGTCATTTATATACACAGAAATAGACAGACAAAGACAGACACAGAATTTTATCAACTTATCCAAGTAAGTGAGTGGTTCTCCAAAGATATCAATAGGAAATTTTAACTTGAAAAATGAAATAACTACTTCACATTCAAAAAGAAAATATAAAAGCTGGAAGAAATTATTTAGAAACTACAAAATTAATGCATGCCATAGATGAAGATTGGTATAAATATATAGGAATTGAATAAGTAGGAACTATAAACCTTGTAATGATGAAAACTGCAATAGGGAAAAACATTCCTCTGTAGGTAAAAACTTATTCAAAACCTATTTTGATGTATTGTACAAAACAGTTTTACATCCATCAATATTTACATAATTCCAGTTTTAACTTATTCTTAAATATTATGAAGTAGATTAACACAAAACTGGTAGACAAATAGAAAGATAAGAATACATCTAATATAATAATAATATCATTGCCTAATATAAAGAGTATACATCGCCTAAGTAATAAAGACTATTTCTATATAAGGATGGGTAGCAGTACAGTACATCAACATCAAAATTTTTTCTACATGCAACAAGTAACAACAATACTACACAAAGGAATTGTGAAGATTGGAATCAAGTTGTCCCTATACTATATAGATTGCAATAAAACAAGAAAATTGACAGTGTCATTGATAGAACAAAAATATGGCAATTGTAGATGTGAAAACCTTTATATGATTAATTAATTAATCTCCATGATCTCAATCATTCTTTTGTTGACAAGCTGATGTTAAACATTTGGTTAGTCAGATGTCTTTACTTAACATAGATAAGTTTTCCTCAGCAAATGAGGTGTTGGTGAATTTTCTATTTTTGTGCTGAGAGTGATTTCTGATATAGATATATAGTTTAATTATAATAGTTGTGAAATTTAACACACTACTGCTAATGTGATATTGTATTCTTTGTTTAGGAGCTTATTTTAAAACTTTACTTCACATTTTGTTTGCATAAAATCAAATCAAAATGTCTACAGATAATATTAACATCAGGCGTATTATGTATATTTTTTAAGTTTCATAAAGGATATAACACTATACAAACAGCAAAAAGTTCTTGTAGTATATGAGGAAAATGTTCCTAAATGTTGGACATGTCAAATGTGGTTTTGGAAGTTTTATTTAGGAAATTTTGAACTAAAAGATACAAAATGTATAGGGTGCACAAAAACTGTTGAAGAGAAATTTCAGGTTGAAATTGTTAAAAATCAATGAATAACAACTTGTGAACTTGCAACAAATCTTAGTGTGTCACCGACATAATAATTGTTTCATATGCAATAAGTAAAAAAAAAAAAAAACTGGATTGAGTATAATTTTGTCTGACATAGGTAGATGGCTAAGGTTTCATTTTATTTTTAAATTAGTTAGACATTTTTATCATAGAAAACTTTTCTTATGGATGACAAAGTTAAAATTAAAATATTTGTTATTAAAAATTTGTTCTAGTGAGTGGTGATTGTTCTGTTGAGCACTGGGGTACCAGTGTATTTGATTAACATGATTTTGATATATGGGTAGTATTGAGAGTTTAATTAATTGCATTAATTAAGGGATACCTGAAGTTAACACTAACAATTTAGAATTAGTGTGGCATGAAANGCGCACGTTTTAAACGTGTAAACGTGTACGTGTGACGTTCGGTGCCGCTTTCCCATAAGCCTAAAAGTTTGACGATGGTATTTGAAATGTCGAGCGTGATTCCACCGACTATCCAAACACTATTGTCAAACTTTTAGGCTTACGGGAAAGCGGCGCCGAACGTCACACGTACACATTTACACGTTTAAAACGTGCGCCTCAACCTCTCTACTAATTACACAATATAATGTAATAAGAGTTAATAAAACTCTCTAATTTAATATATTTTTTCTTTTTCTTAATAAACAATTGTTTAAATGCTCATTCTGTATAATATCTAGAAAGATTAATAAAATATAATAAACATTATAAAAATGTTAAAATTTCAGTTATGTATTTATTTTATTTTTGCATATTTATTTTAAAAAAGTTGGTAATCTAAAAAAGTTTTGTTACTTTAATATATGTTTGAAGTTACTTAAATATATACATTTTTATCTTTCAAAAATATTCAAAAATTTACCCACAGTATTTGTAATGAAAATTAACTGAGTTTAAAAATTCTGTTTATACTTTATTGTTTGAAAAATTTATATGAAATATGAAAGTCTTGATGATTTATTCCCATTCTAATGCTTGATTTTTTTATCGTTATCAAAACTAATTAAACATATTTAGCATAAAATATCTCAAGAAAATATAAAAATTACCTCTAATAATATACTTAATTTTGTATTAAAAAGCATTAAGTGTAGGAAAATTTTTAGAAAGAACACAAAGAAACATTCTTAAAATATTTTTGAAATATTTACAGGATATTGTAACTGAAAGTTCTTCATTTGATTTAGTTGCATTTATGCCTCTTTTAAGAGAGAGGATTTATACAAAAAATCCTTTTGCCAGACAGTTTTTAGTTTCATGGGTAAGTAATTCTTTTTGTATGCTAAATGTATTTTAGACATAAAAGCTTTTATTTATTTATTTAGCGTATTTATTTATTTATTTTTTATTTCTAATTAGTATGAACACAAAAATATTTCAATATTATTCTAAATTAAAATTTTTTTAATGTATTAAACAATAATACAATTCAGCTAATAACAAATTTTAACCACCTAGTATTTTTTGTGTTGTTTTGTAATTATTAATTCAGTATTCATTAGTAATTTTATATCACAAACAATATTCAGTTAGTCTAGCTAATAAAGCTATGAGAAATAAGCTCAATCTGGATTAACAAATGAAATGGTTAAGTATGCAAATGATTATTTTACTTTATTAATTTCAATTATTCTTCAATCTATCAATCTATTCAGCCATTTTAATTAGTATTGATTAGCAAAGTTTTACTCTATTTATTTTTATCATTTATACCATGCATTATAATAATTAAAAATGTTACATTTTCTACATTTTACCATCATCTTATTTTTGATATTTTTCAGTAGCTTCAATTGAATCTGCAATAGCTTTGGTCACTCTGAGTAATTTTATTGTTTGAAGTTTCTGCATATAGTTTTCATTTTATGTGATAATTATATTAATAATGATATGGCTTTTAAATATTACTTTTTTTATTTTTATAATTTATATCTAAATAACTAAAACTTATCTGACATGAAAGTTTCTTTAAAATAAATTTTAGTAAATGTGAATTCTATTTATGTGAAAGTTTATTTTGTTAAATTTATTTTTAAAAATTTAATTCTTAGTTTTAATATATGAACTGTTTATTGCACTTAACAAATAACAGATTATTATTTAATATATTTAACAAAAATTGGGGATCTCGTATCTTCCATAGATAAAAACAATTATTTTACTCTAAGACAGTGGTAACCAAACTATGGCTCAAGCCAAATCTCTCTCATAGCACATGTTAATCTATCCTATGAACATGTTTGACACATCATTTATAAATGATAGAAATAGACCTACTTTTTGTGTATATGGAATATGCAAGGTATTTGTGGCCTGCCTATGTTCAATTTGGTCCATCAATTAAAATGTTTGGATACCATGGCTCTAAGATATAAGAAATATATATATATTTATTTATTTTAATTATTTATTTGTTGTCCATATGTTCAAACATTCATTCTGCTATTTTTTCATATGATTATTCAATTTTATCCATATATAATATCATTTAAATAATGTAACATAAAAAATAGAATTATTTTAAGTGTTAATATTTGTTATGTCCATTCAACTATTTATGTCCATTTCATTCAATTCTTGGTGTTCACTATTAAGGAAGAAATGTAATTTAATTTATTTTTTTGTAAATGATAGCATTATATTTAAAACAGAACAAAAATGAAAATCATATTCTAAATTTACACAATATATCCTGAAATTAGAGCAATTTGTAGACATAACACAACTTCCATTTAAAATTAGTTTAAAAAAATTGTATTTCTACCATAAACACACAATTAATTATTAATGTAAAAACTTTGTTCCAGAAAGATTAGAGATTTTAATCTTTTTAAATTAAAGAGATTATTTATATCAATGTTTCACTGCTTTAAAGATGAAAACAGATTCAGAAATTAAATTTTAAAACATCATTGTTTGTCAGTGTATAAAACACCATTTCATCAAACTGTATTTAATTACTTTTTAGTTTTAGATTTATTTTTAAGAGTACATTATTCAAACTAAAACATAATTGCTATTGTTAGAATCTTAACAGCCAGAATAGAATTTTATTCTAGATGTTAAGAATTTAGGTTCTGTCTTTAATAAGAAATTAAATTAACTTTTCCAAGATAAAAAGAAAAAACAGTTTTTCTCATAATTGTTTTCCTGTAGATTAACAAATTAAATATTTATTAATATGACACATTTAAATTAGACAAAAACTAGTAAAATTAAGATAGAAATAGAAAAAAGGAGTTAAATAGTATAATACAATATCCCCTAAATTATTTAATGCTGCTGTAGAGGTGGTCTTTAAAATTCTAAATTGGAATATGTATGGAATATCAATAAATGGAACAAAACTCAACCATCTCAAGTTTGCTGATGGCATTTTTCTTATTTTAGAGAACTCAGAGACTTAAAAAATATACTAAATGACTTAAATTCAGCTATTTAAAAAAATAACATAGTATTCAAAATTAATATGGATAAAACTAAAATCATGGTTTTATCTGTATTAAAAAGACAGCAGAAGAAAAAATATTTATTTTAGAAAATCACACTATTGAAAGAGTTAATGAAAGTACCTGGGAAAAATCATAATGCTTAACTTAAATAACAATAAGGAAATAGAAGCAAAGATCAAAACAGGATTGATTAACCTTGGTAAATTAAGTTACATCTTCAAAATTCAGGATATCCCCACTGCCTTAAAAAGAAAAGTTTTTGATCAATGCATTCTACCAAATATGACTTATTGATATGAAACCTGGACAATGACAACAACCAGTAAGAAGAAACTTTGAAAAGCTAGAGAGCAATGGAAAGATTAATAATTGATGTGAGTTGAAAAGACAAAGTCAAACACCTAGATTAGGAAAAAATCAGTATGGAACTGCTAGAAACATTAGATATAATATAGGAAATATATGTAATATAGGAAAAATATATGGTCAGTGTCTGTAGAGCCCCCAATGCAGATGCAAGGCTGAATACAATGGGGTGTCAGCTGGTACCCCAGGGGAATTGTTTACAGCACCCATTATATCATATGGATACCTTCCAGCTTTCAGCACAATGCCTCCCATTTTGGCATTGGCAGGTATCCTTCTTAGTTGGATATGGCAAAAGGCACATGTAAAAACCCCTACCATTACATTGTAGCGCAGATCACCAAGCTTCTACCACAACAAGGTGGAGACAGTGGAGAAGTGGACATGTTACTAAATAGAATACATTATTACAGCATTAAAATCAAAAGTATTGCCATGCATAGAAGTACAAATCATTATTACCATATTTACTTAAATCAACACTTTTTCAGGTTTATATGTCTTTGAAAATAGGGTACATATTACATTTAATGTGTCATATGTAGAAACTTCTAGTACCATGTGTGTTATTTCTTTGTCATTAATTCTATAACATCATTCTAATGATTTTATTAGACCAATATTTGTAATAGAAAATACTTAAGAGGTCAGTTCAGTTCAGTTCAAAATCATTAGTGTATTACCATAACATGGTAAGTACTTTGATGAAAAGCCCAAAAAAAAGTTGTGCTCTTTCAAGAAATGCATTAAATAGCACTGAGTATAATTGCACGTGAAAATTGAATCCAAGAGGTTTCCAATTTCAATATCACAGAAAACAATGATATATAACTTACTTTATTTGTAATAAATACTGAATATTTCTGTTGACATAAAGTTGTCTATTTAAAAAAGAAATTATGAGTGAGCATATAGAAATTAAGATAAGTCTTAGATTTGATGGTTTCTTATATTTGAGTAAATACAGTATCTTATGATTATTCTTGCTTTTAACTATTGGTTAATTCATATTAAATTTTAGTTTCATTCTATCTCCTCATTAATGGTGGTTTAGTTCTGAAGAAAATTGAAGTTATCATATAAATGAACAGAATAAAAACAACTATATTAAATACAACACAGATATTTACAGTATTACAAATGTCTTTGATCATATTTAATGATCATCCTCAAGTGCTTTAATAATCACAGAAATAAAAGTTCAAATAATTTTTTATACATAAGTTGTAACTGGATTCAACTGAATTATTTGTATTTTCAAACAATAGATTTTATTTCTAATTAGTTAAGCTAATAAAACATATAATAACTAAAATAAAAAACATGGCTAAGTCTAAAACTTATAAACATTATTATTTTATACATTTTAACTATTTACATAATTTGTTTATGGTATAGTAAGTTGAAT